GTCCGCATGTCTCTACCAGTCAAAGGTAGTTAGTATATCTAGGTTGGGTATTGGGTTACACTTCTGATTGTATGGGCATCTTTTTATTGAGCATTACCAAACTTATAAAGCCTTTGATTAACATTTAAAAGAAAATTACTAATTAAAAAAAAGGACGAGGAGGGAAGGTGATGGAATACATGTGACAGGAAATCAGATGAGGAAACTAGCTGGAGGAAGAAAAGGAAGGGGCAGAGGGAAACAAATCAGAACTCTAAAGACACATGTATGAGGATGCTGTAATAAAACCCAGTACTTTGTATGTTAACTTAAAATACTAATAAAGAAACAAAAGCAAGAAGGAGGAGGGGGTATAGGATAGGGTGTTAGTATTCTGTCTAAACTCCACCTCCACAGTTACCTGGCAGTGGCCAGGTATGATCCTCCCCAGTTACCTGGCAACAGGCAGATAGCCCTGCCACTATAAAAGGGGCTGCTTACCCCCTCCTCACTCTCTTACTCCTCTCTTGGTCCCTTGACCCCGCGCCTGCAGGTTCGCTGTTCCCCTCTCCCTTCCCCCCTTCCCTTCCCCCTCTCCACGTGGTCATGGCCAGCCTCTACTCCTCTCTCTCTCCTCTCACTCTCTCTCCCTCTTAATAAACCTCCCCTCATGGAACCATTTGGTCTGTTGTTATCTGTTCCAAGCTGCTCCTGAAAATCTTTTCATAGGGGGTTCCTGGGGAAGGGATGGGGAAAGGGGATGACATCTGAAATGTAAATAAATAAAATATCCAATTAAAAAAAAGAAGTTAAAAAAAAGAAGAAAAAAACCAAACCAAACACCAAAAAAAAAAAAAAAATCAAAACCAAATCCAAAACCACCACCACCACCACCATCAAAAACCCAAAGCTTAGTGTGGTGGTCCATGCCTGCAATCTCAGAACTTTGGAAGCTGGAAGCCAAGATTTCAAAAAGAGGGTTAGGAGTGGAGTGAGTTGGAGAGATGGCTCAGTGATTAAGAGCACTGCCTGCTCTTTTTAGAAGACTTGAGTTCAATTCCTAGCATTATGTGGTGGCTTACAACTGTCTATAACTTCAGTTCCAAGGATTTGATGCCGTTTCTGACCTCTGTGGGCACCTGGCAAACATGTAGTACATAGATAAACATGCAGACAAATACTCACGAATGTAAAATAAAAATAAAATCTTTTTTAAAAGAAAAAAAAGAAAATGCATCTCAGGTGATTCTGAGGCAGGAGGTTACCATCTGAGATACAGTGATGGACTTGGAGCAATAAGGTACAAACTCCACCGCGTGGCTCCTTCACCCATGGGTTAGAGACGCCACTGATGCTGATACAGTCCTAAGGGAGCCAGGGCCTCCTTCTTCATTAGGAATACCTATGCCTGGCACAATGTGAGGGACAGTCAGAAGGCTTTCTTGGCTGGGTCTGCTGGGATGGACCTATAGCCCCACTTACTGGGGGAGGCCCCGTTGAAGCAGGAGGACTACAAGTGTGAGCACTGCCTGGGTTATAGAGTGAGTTCAGGGCCAGTCTGAGCAATATGACAAGATCCTGTTAACAGTTTTTTAAAAGCAGAAGAAAGGGTGGAGCATCTAGCTCACTGAGCTTTTCCAGTATTTATGCAACCATAAATTCAATTCTAGACCTGAGGGGAAATAGCCTTTGTTGACTGAGATCTTCAAGGAGCTTCTGGATCTAGAATCCGAAGGCTCTGTCTCTAGTACAGTTGTAAAACCACAGACAGAGAATAACACACTCTGAGTGGGGTGGGAATGGGGTGGCACTATTGTGTAGCTACAGCAAGTTAAACCTCTATACAGCTAATTGCTCTCTCTCTCTCTGGTCTAGTCCACAGAACTCTGAAGATCCTCCCTTCCATATTTCTTTATTCCCAAGGGTTATACGTGAGGCACAGTGACCGAGGGAGAGGAGCTTTACACAGAGCTCCAGATAAGATGTATTTCTTCTTTAAATCTGCTATGAACAGACTCCTAAAGAAAATCATTTTCTCTGTTTCCCCATCATTCTGTATTTCCAGGTCCCTCTTAATACTGATGTGGGAGGTGGTCCACAAGTCTTTGCAATGAAAGTGACCCCATAGGAAATGAATCTGAAAATTCCATTTATTAAAACAAACACACAGTTCATGTGGGATAAAGATGTGCACATCACATTCAGGTTTTCCTGTTTTAACATTTCTAAGCTGGGCGTGGTGGCTCATGCCTTTATTCCCAACCACTCAAGAGTCAGAGGCAGGGGGACCTCTGAATTCAGGGCCAGCTTGGTCTACAGAACAAGTTCCAGGACAGCCAGTGCCACATAATGAGACCCTGTCTTGAAAAAAACAAAACCCCCCAAAAGCAAAACCCCCACCAAAACACAAGACCCCCATTTTTCTGCTTTCCTCTCTTTAAAGACACATTCCACAGATCTTATACAGGAGAAGTGTGAAGCTCTGAACAGTTGCACAGTTGTTGGGCTGTGAGACAGTAATATACACATAAAAATCCATCATTTGCAGGATCGGCTAGAAACAAACACCAAGGAAAAAGAAAAAAGCATAAAAATATCTGCTAAAGGTCACCAGGTTGATTTTCTCAAAACTCGTCATTTGACTTCAAGCAAGCATATGGGGAAAAGTATGATACTTTGTCTTCTTAAATCTGATGATTTAAATTATATCTTACTTACTTTCAAATTTAAAAACATTTTAATTTGGAGTTGATATTAAAAGTGGTTCAGGTATTTTAACAGACACTTCATTATAAGTTTGGCATTTATTATTTATTAATTCCATGGCAGATTGTAATTGTTATCCAGGTATATAAAAATGAGGGACTTAAATAGTTAAACTAAAATTTCCTATTAGTTACCCTAAGATGAAATTATGCTGGTGACAAGGATGGTTGACATTGAAAAGAATTAAGCTCTTTCAAGATCCAAGAAAACAAAACCATTTGCCTTTAATAAATACAAACATCAATAAGTCAAAACTGATTCCAGGTATAGCTCCACACTGAAGAATATGAAATTATTAAAAAAGAAAATATTTTCCTGAAACTTCTGTGTGGAAGAGGATAGTTTCCTGCTTTTTTATTCTGTAAACACGCTCACAAGTAATTTGCAAATCCTCAATTTTTAATTTTTAGGCCTGTACATGGGGCACCCTAAAGATTGTGTTTCCACTGTACTCATTTCCGAGATCTAAATTTGCACAGAAGTATAGAAGCCTCCTAGTGTACCCCTGCCCCTAATCAGCACAGACTGCCCCAGTCACAGTTGTTGACCTGTGAACACATATGTATGTTTCAGTTCACTTTGAAGGTGTGATACATTTAGCTGATTCCACAGTATTCTTAACTGCATTATAGTGCAGTTCTGTAACAACTGACAGTGTTTTTTTTTTATCTGTTTTGTTTTGGTTTTACCATTAAACAAACCTTCATGAGTATCCCACTAACTATAACAAAACCCCAAAACCTGCCGGAACAGAAGTTTCTGGCTACAGAATTGCATGTGTACATGGATAATTGTTCCGGTATCCTCTTCTCTCACACCCCAGGCATAAACTTTAATTGGACATAGTTATGCTTTAGCTGAAAACCCATAAAAGACTTAAGAAAAATATCTTACCAAATCTATTTCAAAAATGTGTCCTCATCATAGGAAGTCTTTTTACCTTCTCTTTCCTTTAGAAATACCACCAGCTTTTAAAACATGAGGAAGAGAGTGGCAAGAAGAGAAAATCAATTTTGCTTGGATTTAGTGGTCTTTTAGGATTTGAAAACAAAAAGAAGTCTAAGAGGTTCTCTCTGACTGGGTAGATGGCAGCCTGCAGGCAGCTGAGGCTTTCAGTTACTGACGGAGGATACAACTGTCATGACAAACCTCTCTCTCAATGTCTTATTGTGGGAGAAGAGCACTAGCCAAAGGAGGCTGGAAATAGGGCAGAGAGGCTCTGACAAACGGGGTGGAGAGTGAAGCAGCCAATGGTTTGAAATTTTGGGGTAGTGGAAAACAAGGGCCACGTTAGCATCAGCAGGAAGAAGAGCCAACTAAGAGGGTTGCTCAAAGCACAATTCGGGGACTTTGTCTCCCAAACAACCGGCATTCTGAGGCTGGCCCCCTCCCTTGGAGCTGTGGGTTTATTTCTTATGATGCTTGAGCTAAAGAGGGCCGTGGTTGTCTAGTTATGAACATGGAAAAATGTTCTTTTGCTTATGCTTTCTACGGTTCCTGGAAAGTGGAAACAGGCTGATGTTCTGACAGCGCCTTCCCAAGTCCTCATGGATCCTGCCTGCTCTCCCGTGTGGGGTAACATGCTGCCCTGGGTCCTGGGTAAGCCTACATGCTGTGGATTGGGGAAATCTGTCAAGAGGTACTTACACCACAGTTCATCAGGAGGTATTTCAGGCATGGCTAAGGCGCTGAAGTGATCTCAATTTTTCAAATTACAGAAGATTTGGTTTTTTCCTCTCTGGCCTCTTTTTCTCTCACTTAGCTTTCCAGCTGAACAACAAAACTTCTGAATGGATGCAGTATAGGGACATGTTCGTGTTCATGCAGTATTACTCAAAAACTACCACAGAGATATGAAAGCACCGGTCACAACACACGGTTTACTTTTACTCGCAGAATCAAAACTATCATATACAAATATTAAGAATAGTGGTAAGAGAACACAGAGAGCCGGCACTGTAGTGTGTGTTTGTGTGTGTGTGTGTGTATTTCTATTTTCTCATTGTTATTCTCATGAAGAAATCCCATGGGGAATATCTTTCTAAACATCTCCACTGTTCATTCCTCCTTGGAGTTGAGACTAACACACAAGCCCAATCTTATCCCCTCAGCCCTCTAACAGAGAGGGGTAGAGAAAGAGAAAGGGAAAGAAAAGAAAAAGGCACAAAAGACTAAACATGGAAGTCATTAAACTGGACTGTGGCTACATGGGGCGCTTATCAGAGGGTATTTGAAAGACAATTCTATTCCCAGAATGTCAGCCATATCTCAGCTCAGGACACCGGCTTTAATGTTTATTTTGTTTATAAATATGAAGCAGAAATGTAAGGTCTTAGAGGGAAAGCAGGAAAGTTACACCGATCTCGTTTTTTATACATTCCCCTCCTCCAGGCCGGTCTGCAAGGTCAGATCTCTAAAGTTGGGACACGGAATCAGCTTTCATTCTCATAAGGGGACAGTTCTTTAAACATGCACAGCCCGGAGTGTCCAAGATGGTTCTCCTTCCTCTCTTTAAATGCTGCGGACGAGAAAGGCGCCCACTTTGCTAGGAACTCTACATCAATGTCCCAGGAGCCCCGACGCTCTTCAGCCTCCTCCCAGAGACTTAAAGGATGGCACAGAAGAACTTCTTCTCCCGGAAGGGGTTTTCTGAGGCCGGGACTGGGGTCAGCAGGGGGTCTTCCTTGGCATGGGCCTCACAGTAAGCCATCAAGTCTGCAGCTGCCTTCGACACCTGCAAGGGAAGGCAGAAATATCTGAGAGGATAGACAGGCACGGACCCAAACATCACCACTCAGCCACTCGGGACCACACCTTTGGGGTCCACCACCTCGGAGCTCGGAGCTCACCCGGCTAAGCACTTGAAAGCCAAAGGACACGAGTAAAGGGCTACGCCTCACCTGCATAAGCTCTGCTTCCTGATCTGTAGACGGGGTTGTCAGTGAAACTGAGCTGACCACACTGTTGTCGGCAGGTGAGGATCTAGGAGCGAAGCACTCAGGGCCTCAAACAGAAGAGCCACTCAACTCGAGAATCGCAACCCTCTCTTTATACCTTTGTGCCATGATACCTTAGTTGCTGCACCTGAGTTCCAGCACTAGTGGTAGGATTATACAAGTGAGATAACCCAGGAAAGACATCCAATCTCACATAAAGGATGCTCTTTATGTAGGATAGTCACTGCTATCTTTCTATAGCCATGAGCCTGCTCTTGGAATTCTCCTACAGACGTCTACAGCCAGGCTGGTGACCCTTTCTAACCAGGAGGCATATCATCACACACAGACACACACACAGACACACACACACACAGACACACACACACAAACTGATATCATGTACTATAGAACATATACATTACAGTAAGACCATGTGATTCCAACCAAGAAGGTTCCCATTAGAAGGGCTTCCCTGCTTTTGGAGATGAAGCAATGCACTGCACATTGCCAGCTCCCTGTGAGGAGTTGCCAGTGGTGCTTTCCTCTGCAGTTGTTGCACATTTTTGTTACTTGAGGAGCTAGATTTCATTTCATTTTTGAGAGATAAGCTGACATCTGTTGATGAGGTAGGTGATCCCCCAGAAGAATGCCATTTGGAATCAGAAACATGGAGTCAGTCATTGGTCTTTTATATGACACGGTATGCCTGTGCTAAAGGTCACTCCCAAAGACCTTTCTTTGCTTATGAAAATACCACCACGGTAGGGTGTGAAAGTCTCTCATAGTGACTACCGCAAGCACAAGCTTCTCTAAGACTCAGGCAGAATATACTATAACTAAAAATATACCATGTTTCTCACTCCAGGTAGGCTCCGTATATTCACACAGTGATGTCAGGCTAGCTTATATCACCAGTGATTTGTTCTAGCCAATGAGACGTGAGCAGAATCAATACTAATTACTTTGGGGCAGAAGAATCAATGCATGACTTGCCGGGTACTCTTTCCTCTTCCTCTCTGTCCATTTGAACTAATAATTAGGACCTCCTTAATTCACAAGTTTCCATGAATGGATCAATGGCCACGTCCTTGCTTTGGTCCTTGCCTGAGGATCAATGGATCAATGGCCACGCCCTCGCTTTGGTCCTTGCCCAAGGATCAAGTGGATTAGACTCCCATCACTTACAACTACAACAGGTTTGTGACTAACAGGTTAGACACAGAAATCAGTTTTATATTCTCAGTCAACCAATGCTCAGCTTTTCTTTCTCTGTTCTGTTTGCCACAGACCAGTCAGAAGCAATATTCTAGACAGACACTGCTCCATAGGCCAGGATTCCTGATGACAGTGAGGTGCTGTGGAGAGGAAGCTGCTCGGATTAGGGAAGACCTCACAGAAGCTCTATAATCATAAGCCTACTTCGTTCTTGACATCAGGTTAAACTTTCTCTTGGTCTATAGTAGACATGGAAAGTAGACCTGTGTGGGAAGTGCCAAAAAAACAGGGGGATGATTACTGCCGGGAAGCCCGCTTACCTTGATTTGGATATAGACATTGATAGAAGTTATGTGTTTCCCATGGCTGCCTTGATGTAGCATTACCAACCAGATGGCTAGCACAGCACCAGTGCATTCTCTCACAGCATTAGAAATTTGATGTTTGAAACTAAGGTGTCAGCAGGGTTGGTCCCCAGCCCTCTGAGCGAGAATCTGCTCCATGACACTCAGCACCTAGTGGTTGTGGTGACCTTCGGTATTTCACATACACAGACCACTCCAATGTTGACCCTGTCTTTACATGACAGTCGTCTCTCTGTTGTTCAACTCCATCAGTCATTGTGTTAGAGTCTGCCATACTCGGTGTGGCTAGCCGTCTACTGACATGCTTCCGCCTGCAAACACCCTATTCTAACATGAATGTTAGGCGTGTCCCGTCGAGCATCTTTTACTTCCCATCTCTGTGACAATGCATCAGTGAAAAGCCTCGTCTGCCTTCTGTGGATGAAAGCTCAAGGATCAGCAGATTCCAGGAGTTTTCCACAGGCAGGCAGCGAAATACGTGACAGAAGAACTCGGATGCTGATGTTTTGCTCTTAAGCTGCAGCTGCCTGCATTCAAACTACTCAAATGCCCGACTAGTTCCATAGATGGAAACTAATCCTTTACGCATCTTTCCTAAACTTGATGATGATGAAATGAAAGAAAACTGACTGTTCTAGCCATGGCTTCGTCAAATAAGGGCAAAGGTCAGACTTTGGGGAAAAATTGAAAACTTTTTTTTCTGTGACTTTTACTTATTTGAGCAATAGGCATGAATGCGTTAAACAGGAGTGTAACTGCTTAGCAGCAGAGACTTTAAACAGCAATACTGAATTCACATTTTTTAGGAAGAGATCTGGTACCATCCACACCTATTCATCCCTGATGCTCTCACACAAACACATGGCATGAAATTCCTGAAGCACTTTTTACTTGAGATTTTATTTTCCTTTATGTGTGTGTGTCTGACTGTGTGCATGTCTGTGCACCACGTGTGTGCAGTGCTCCAGGAGGTGAGAATAGAGCACTGGATCCTCTGGAACTGGAGTTACAGACTGTTGGGAGCTGCCACATGGGTGCTGGGAACCAAACCCCGGTCTTCTGGAAGAGCAGTCAGTGCTCTTAACCAAGTCATCTCTGCAATCCTCAGATTGCTTTTTATGACACAGAAGATACTAGAGCAGGAAAAATTAATAACATGGAACTGATCCTAGTTTATATTTGAACAAATGATTCTGAGTGATTTCTTTTTCAAAATACATTTTGTTTCCTCACGAGACTGCAGTATCTTGTGAATGATGACCCAACACAACATCAGAATCTTGCTAACAGCTGGAATAGTTGCTGATATTTCTGGCCTTTGCTATGTGTCCAAACTGTGTAAACTACTTTATACCAAGTATCATAGTTAATCTGTAGATTAGTCGTATGAGTCTGTAAGTTATTAAAACCCTATGCTTTGTTCGGCTGCTTTTTGAGACAGGATCTTCCTATGCTGCCCTGGCCCTTGCTATTTAGCTCAGACTAGTGTGAAGCTCTGTCTCTTGGACACTGGGATTCTAGATGTGTGCCATCATGTCCTCAACATGGGGTGGGGTTGTGTGGATTCTGTGTTTCACTGAGTAAGTGCTTGGCTTAGGTGTCAGCTCAGAAGCAGCCAAATGTGAATGTCCATGTTCCTGATTTATTCTCTACATAGACTGTCACATGTGTCCCTTACCTTGCAGTAATTTATGTGATGTTCTGCCTGGATCTCATGCTTCGGGGTTATACTTTCTAACATAATGAACACAATTTCTTTTATATTCATAGGCCTAGTTGTTTCATGAAGACTCTCTCTGAACCCTAGAACAGTCCAGAAATAGCTTCCACTTAGATCCCTTGCTGTCATCTCCATCCAGCTCCATAGTCTGAAGCTCCATCCTTTCCAGGACAACTGAAGTAGATGCTTAAATAAAAAGTGATCAAGTGGGTTCACCAGTGGGCCTTAGGATAGAATTTAAAGAGTGGCCTAGCTGGGCTGTGGTGGCGTACGCCTTTAATCCCAGCACTTGGGAGGCAGAGACAGGCAGATTTCTGAGTTTAAGGCCAGCCTGGTCTACAGAGAGAGTTACAGGACAGCCAGGGCGACACAGACAAACACTGTCTTGAAAAATAAAACCAACCAAACAAACAAAAGAGAGTTATCTATGAAGTTTGATGATAATAATCATTCCTTTATTTTCACTGACCTCAAATGGAAATTTATCATCTCCGTTTCAATCATGTTACACTCATCTTCCTATCTCAACATTGTACTAATATTTACCCACTTTATGGCTATAAGCATGGTATTAGATACTGTAAATAAAGGAACATATCCATAACCATAGTATATGCTATATAGGTTTTGAAAATATTTTTAGAGACATGTTATTATCTAAAAAATCTTATAAAAATATTCTGATACACTACATTTCAACATAAGTAGTTTCCTCTGTAATTTCTCATCATTCTGAGAAAGGGACCAAAAACTTCATCAGACAGCCAGTTGGGTCAAGGACACCAAAATGTGAAAGGAAGCTGGATGACTCCTTTGCTTTTGAAACTGCCATGAGTTCTGTCACCATACTGTGACTATAACAGTAGTTTAAAACTTCACATTGGCTTATGTAATTCCCCATTTGAAACCATCAGTTCTTGCCCACTATACCTTGTAGAAACAAAAACATAATATACTAATCTGTGGGTCCTGAATGTTTAGAGTCCACTCCTCTCCAATTTCCTGTCCTGACACTTTTCTCCTTTAATTTTTGAGAGCCCCAGAGTCCTCTCTGCCTTACAATTCTGTATATATGATTCTGATGAACATCCTTCCACACATCCTCTGCAGCCCAGCCCCTGTTTTCCTTCCAGAAATCTGACTCCTGATAGGGCACTCACTGATGTCTTTCTTCAAACTGGCTTTCTTTACCCTTTTCTGTCTAAGTGGGACACTCTTCTCACACACAGAAGCCACACCCCTTCCCAGCGTGATTATCCTTCTGGGTCTGTTTATTGGTTGTTTAATATTTTCTAGCCCTTCAAGCACTATGTGTGTGAGGACAGGAACCTTATCTGTCTTACTCATCATTGGAGTATCAGTGCTGACACATGGAAGAGGTTCAGGTCGATGCTAAAGGAGTTCTCAAATGCAACCTCAGTGAACAGATATTTCATTCAACTAATAGTGGTGTGTTCTTGCGAATTCCCGTGGGGCAAGAAGAGGGCATTGCCTT